TTTATGCAGCCAACAATCATATGAAAAAAGGCTCATCATCACTGGTTATTAGAGAAATGCAAATCAAAACTACATTGAGATACCATCTCACACCAGTTAGAATGGTGATCATTAAAAAGTCAGGAGGCAACAGATGCTGGAGAGGATGTGGAGAAGTAGAAATGCTTTTATACTGTTGGTGGGAGTGTAAGTTAGTTCAACCATTGTGGAAGACAATGTGGCAACTCCTCAAGGATCTAAAAGTAGAAATGCCATTTGACCCAGCAATCTCATTCCTGGGTACCTACCCAAAGGTTTATAAATCATTCTACTATAAGTACACATGCACATGTATGTTTCTGTGTGCAGCACTATTCACAATAGCAAAGACTCAGAACCAACCCAAATGCCCATGAATGATAGACTGCATAAAGAAAATGTGGCACATATACGATATGGAATACTATGCAGTCATAAAAAAGGATGAGTTCATGTCCTTTGCAAGGACATGGATGAAGCTGGAAACCATCATTCTCAACAAACTAACACAAGAACAGAAAATCAAATACCACATGTTCTCACTTTTAAGTGTGAGTTGAACAATGAGAACACATGGGCACAGGGCAGAGACCATCATACACCAGGGATTATCAGGGGTTTGTGGGTTAGGGGAGGGATAACATTAAGAGGAATGCCTAATGTAGATGATGGTTGATGGGTACAGCAAACCACCATGGCACATGTAGACCTATGCAACAAACCTGCACGTTCTGCACATGTACTCCAGAACCTAAAGTATAATTAAAAATAGCAAAAATTAATTGGATGTGGTGGTACACACCTGTAGTCCCAGCTACTTGGGAGACTCTGGTGGGAGGATCGCCTTAGCCCAGGAGGTCAAGGCTGTAGTTAACTGTGATTGTACCACTGCACTCCAGCGCTTTAGCGTCAGAGCAAGATCCTGTCTAAAACAAAACAAAACAAAACAAAAAAACGGAATGATGATTGTCAGAGGCTGAGAGGAGAAGACGTAGGGAATTACTAATCTATGGGGATAAAGTTTTAGTCAAGCAAGATAAGTACCCTCTAGGGAACTGCTGTGCACATGGTACCGTACCGTCAATCATATCGTATCATACACTTAAAATTTTATTAAGCAGATATCATTTTAGATATTTTGACTAGCATAAAATAAAATTTAAAAAAAAGAAAGTACTTGCTTTTTGGCTTTTATTAGATCAGGCAGTTGGGAGTAGAGATTTGTGGAAGATAGGAAAAGAGAAACCAGGGGATGACCTGCTTTTTAAATTTTATTATTTATAATTATTATTCTTCTTTCAGATCCCACTCCACCAGGATGGTTGACTTGCTTTTAACACAACCTCTTTGTCACAGGTACTCAGGGAAAATTTCTTCACAGAATGTCGTCTTTCCTTGCCAAATATCAACTTGATTAGTGTGAAGCAGACACAGAATTCAGTAAAATCTTAATATAAAAATCACTTAACTGGGCTTTAACAACATTTTCTTTGAATTGACATTTAAATATATTTGTCTGACTCTTAAAATCATGCATCCATGAACTCCTAAGAAATATCCCATTTTGTCTGGGAAATACTCCCACAAAGATACTGATGAGCCTAAAGATGAAAACAAGTTCTAGACTATGTTACTTGTTGGAGAGGAAGCTTATATGCAACAGTGAGCATAGAAGAGGTAGGTGATGGTTCAGCACTAAATTTGAGGATGGTTTAATATATTTGCTCATAAGACACACGCCTTCACAAATCATTGGAGAATGTCTGGAAAGAATTGATTTTTTAAAAGGTCAGGTTGGCAGGGATTGTAGGTCAAAATATCAAATTCAATGAAAAAAGCAAAACTGAGTATTCATATTTCATAAAAATGAAAGATAATAAATATTATTTTATGAACAGGAAAGAAAAAGTATTGGAATGCAAGTAGAATTGTAAAAATTAATTTTCTTTGGGGACAATAATCAGGGCATATGTTCAAGTTTCATGTCATGTGTTTCAGTAATTTGTAGTTTATATATAATATTACTTTAGCAACTAGAAAAAAAATATTTTCAAGTTTGAGGAGGACCCAGAGAATAAACATTACGATCATTCCTCCCTAGCATTGTCCAGGAAGGAGTCCAACCAAACAAGCCCTGATGACGCTACCTGAACCCTGTCATAGCCGGCTTCTTTCCCATGCAGGACATGAAGTTCCCAGGCTGATTCATTAACTCTCAGACTGGGACTCTGGAAGTGGCTGTGTGAACTCCTTAACTGTGAAGTACATGAGGAAAACTTTATATGGGAACAAAAGTGTAATAAAGCAAATCACAAGAATGTCAATAGCAAGTATCTGATGTGCCATCAAAAGAAGTGCTTTGTAGAATGAGCACAAGTCTAACAAATTCAAAGGTAGATTTGTGCCAGTAGTTTCTTGGAAAACAGTCAAAGGATCTTTCCCAAAGGCAGTAAATGAGTATCTTGTCTTCCCACATTGGCATTATCTAAAACCCTGAATTGGACACAGAAATGCACCCCATATTAACTTCATGAAATTGAGCATTAACTTAACTTAACTTAAGTTAAGTTCTTAACTTAACTTAACTTAACTTAACTTAACTTAACTTAACTTCTCTGACCCTCAGCTTCTTCATCAGTAAAATGTGAAAAATAACAGTGCCTACTTCATAAGGTTATTACATGGACTAAAGACATGCCTCAGCTCAGGCTATAACTCTCATCTCAGGATGTGGCACCTAATTGAAGTCCCAGTAAACATCTGCTGTTAAAAAATGATAACAGAAATCAAACATGCAAGGGCAAAACAGAAACAGAAACAAAGACAACCACAGACAACTCTTTATGTGCTAAAACACAAAAGCATTAAATAAAGGTTTATTAACATCATATCGAAGACACATTATATCATATGTAAGCATTACATCAAATTCTGTATAATAAGACACAAACAAATACCAAGCAAAATTGCTATGGTAGTATAAGTTACCATTAAAACAGGAAAGTTCTACACAATTAAGAGCAGCTTAGCAATACTTTGTCAATTATTCATCTTCTGTCCCTAGTGCTTGATATTTATCCATGTCAGAGAAAACTTGTTTATATATAGAAAACATATTTATGCAGGCCAAGCTTTAATACACTTTAACTTTCCCCAGTTTTAGTAAGTTACTCATCATGTATGCTATTCTGGTGAAATTCACTAAGTAGCACTAGAGTTCACAATCATACAGGTGGATGTGGAAAAATGCATTCACTGGGTACCAGATGTATCTGAGTTTTAATTTCAACTCCATCTTGTATTAACTTTGTGACCTTGAGCACATTATATAATTTATTTGTTCTTTGGGTTCCCCCTGTGCTTAATGAGAATACAAAATGTCTTCATCTCAGGGTTGTTATGAGGATTAAATAATGGCATTTCAAACGCTTGGCACTCAGTATGTGCTTAAAAGTTGTTAGTTTCTCTGCTTCTCCAAAAAGGAATCTAGGAGATCATCACCCTTCTCATTTTACCAATGAGAAAGCTCAGGTCCACAGAAGTTTTAAAAAATGCCCAAAGTCCCACTTCTGCACTCTTTCCTCTGCTGTCCTCTTATTAGCTTGCTTAACTTCAATAGAGAAGAGAAAACTCAGTGGAATAAAAAAAAAATATTTTCCTCTTTTTAATATAGGTAAGCCACCAAGAGACTTTTAAAGTAGGAGTGAGTTTTATGAAAGGTAATAAGTAGTCTAAGAACTGTTTTAAATCCTCAGAGCTATCAAAAACAGAAGTTCTGTTCTTCCAAGATTTCCATAGCAGAACATAAGTATTCTGTATGCTTTGGCACCAAAAAACTCCAGAACTGAGTATTTATCTGCACGTTTTTACTCAGGCCTCTCAGAATGCTTGCCCATGGAACTGGCAAAGGAACTGGCATTCAGTATTTAGAGCAGCCAAGTTTGCTCAGCCCACAGCTGTATTTGAAGCACAGCTCTCTATCATTAGTCAATGGAACATGTACAAAATGCAATTTAGATGTAAATTTTGTGATTCTTACCCTGCTTTCATATCTCTGTCATCTTTTCCATACCTGAAGATCACCCCAGGACAACCCAACAGAACCCGTGATCCCGTGCAGAAGAGAAGGCAAAATTCTGCAACCTGTAATTTACAGCTTGACCGCTTTATTTGAAGGAGAATGACAAGCTTTATTTAGCAGGAAGGAGATATTCAATACTACTCTTTTAAAATAGTCAACCAAGAAAGAGTCTGCTATTTCTTTAAAAATGTTTTTAAAGTTATATTTTACCATAAGAGAACTGGTTGAATTTTATTTGGTTATTTAAAACATATACATATGGTTGTTTGTCTCTCTCACTTGAAGTCCTTACCACATCCAGAAGAGCTGGAAACATCCAATGTTGCTAAAGCTACTGTAGCTACTGTGATACATGGAAACTCAACCATTGGAAATGGGCCATATTTATGACTAGATCAGTTGCTCTTATCAAATTGCTCATACAGCAATCTATGTCTATAGTTATAACTCTGACATTGGTTAAGCCACAATCTTGTTACTTCAGTTGTATGGACCCGCAGAGCACAAACGAGGTCAGACAAATGTAGATGCTTATGAGACATTTCCCAGTGGTTCTTGAGGGTGGCATGCTATTTCCAAAAACTGTTGGTCTGGCAATGTGGAAATTATCAGGCCTACATGATGAAAGAAACTAATATATTAATCCTATTTAAATAGGTCTGAGTTCATTTTATAGGAAGGGATGAGAATAAACAATCAGACTTCTATGCCAGTGATGTATTAATATACTTGGTTCTGTTTATTATAAATATTTTCTCTCAGAAACACACTACTGTCAGAATTATAACAATTAAATGTGGGCATTTTGGGGTTTTTTTCAGTCTATCTTAAAACAACTATTGGTGTTATTCTGTTAGATCCTATTTACACAAATTGAAAAGATTATACCAAAAGGTAATTATAGAGAAGAAACGGATATTTGTTTATTTCCAAGTCAAGGCATTTGATTGGGTATTAGTCTTGGCAGATATTTATAAGAAAAGAGAAAGACAAACTACATTTTGAAGTTGCCCCTAAAAACTGACCAGTTTCAGACATTAATACTACTAGACTCAAAAACAAAGTAACACATCCATCACACCCCCTCATTGTAAGACAGTTATTTTTTTCAAGACTATTTTGTCTGGATCTCATCACCCATAACCAGTACTGATCTGCTCTGACCTCTCTGTTTTACACCTCTGTTTCAATTCAAAACATTATTCCCAATTCTGAAGAGGCTTGGGGCCTGGCTATATCCCGGGAGGTTACTTGATTGTGTTCCTGGCTCAATGTCTAGACGACATTTCTAACAAATTTCAGGGAAATCTTACACTGTCTTGCAAGCTCTCCTCTGTAGCATAAAGGGATGATGAATTACATTCTGGCACGTCATCCTTAGCTCAGTTTTTTAATGGATCTTTTACTAGGAATCAATGGCTTTCCCTGCACTGTCTTCCTCCCCACAATACTGTGGGATAATCAATCCCACCCTCTCTTTGTTGGGATTTAATAATGACAGTGTAAGATGTAACCGTGCCTAAGACCTTGAACTATTCAATCTTGAGCTAATGGTTTTTCCATAACAAAGATCTACAGCCTTTTATTTCTTTTACACTTAGAGTGAATATTTACAAATATCTTTGAAAGAGTTCTAAGAGTCAATCTGGAAAGGCATTCTAAAAGACTTTATTTCTGAACTTTGATGACTATTTCTCAACGGTCAGGAATGGGGAATGTAAAGAAAAATGAAGGAAATCTTGCCCAGATGCATGATCAACCACTCCTGGGAAATGAAAATGTCCACAAAATGTCCAGAATTGCAGAGATGCAATTCTGGCAGAGAGGATGGTGATCCAGGTCCAGTGCTCCAGTGTAAGGTTGCATGAAAGGCAGAATGCAAACATTAATAAAATCAAGTTACACTGAATCTCTTATCTTGACTTCTTAGACATCTCAGAGAAAGAAGTGAGATAAAACTGAACTTCTCTCCACACCCCACTTCTCTCCGTTTTCCTTTCTCCTACTTCCCACTTTCAAAACAACAAAGGCCCAAATCCCCAAAGACCCTGTATTTTTCAGGCTAAAACTCTCCGGGGAAACAATGGTGAGTGTGTCCTGATGCTTTCCAGGTCATTTAGATGACTACATATAAAGGCCAGTTAAAGTCTGGCAGTGGTCACTCTACTTGGTCATAGGGAGAGGGCCAGAAGGCAGGTTCCCAATCGAATGAATCTCTGTCACACCATATCAGAGTTGGGGGAGGAAGTGGCTGGAGATGCTCCAGATGACCTTGTCCTCCAAATTAGACACTTGTTTTTCTTTTGTTTTGAAGTGAGCCAGTGAATAAAGACAAAAGAAGTACACTCTGGGTGAGTTGTCCCATGCTTTCTACAGTGAAGAAGTGTTTAAGATGAAGTCCTGAGTGGACATTAAAGTGGGAGTAAAGGAATCTGGATTCTAGTCTTAATTGGGCCTCAATTTCCTCATCTGTAAAATGAGATGGTAGAACTGATAATCTCTAGAAGCGATTGGTGAAATATTGGAAGGAATACTGGACTGGTTTCAGCAACAATGAATCCCTTGAATTATATACAAAAGTGTGTGTGTGTGTGTGTGTGTGTGTGTGTGTGTGTGGTTTTATTGAGTCAAACCATTAAGAATCATTAAGCCTTTTTCAAACTCTAAAGTTCATCTTTGTCATCTTTTAAGTCTCTTCATCTTACACAAATTGTAATTTTTTCAAATGTGTTCTGAGTAATGAAAATAAGTGCTTTTCAGCACTAACCCTTTAATGCATGTTTAAACATTTAATCTAGAAATTGATTATAAGGTAATTGAATGAAGAAAATAATCTGTCATAATTCTTATAGATTCTGGTTAGTTTTAGATTTTAAAAAAACAGGGCTTATAATTAAAGCAACTGACTAATGATCTCACAGCCTCAAGTTTATATGTGCAATGCAAACCTAGATTAGAAATACTTGTGTCTCTAAAAATAACAAAATGTCCACAAAATTTTTTTTCTTACAAGTTTGAAGTGGTCAATTATGGGTAACACATACATTCCTAAGGAAATCTGAAATGGTCTTGAAGAATAAGTTTCTTTGAAATAGTAAGTAACACAAAAAGTGTACTACTTTTTTTGGAAAATGATTCACAAAAAAACCCTTTAAACCAAGAATTGGTGATTTATATTCTGGTCAGGATTTTGGAGTCTGGGCAATGCCATTACTTAGCTGTTTTGACTATGAGAACTTTTGCAAATTTATTCTGACTTCTATGATCTTTAATCTCTTTTCAACACCTGAAAAATAATAAAGATTGTAAACTAAATGTCCTTAAAGATTCTCCCCTCCCCAGTGATGTATGACAATACTTGGGACTCTAAATGCCCTGCTGTCTGTAGAGCTATCGTGGAGCTGAATGAACACAAGGTGGTGCTTTCATATTAGCTACTTTCTAGTTCTTTTGTTAATTAAGAACAAGTTTTTGTTTTTGTCCCCAGTTTAGCCAAATGCTCCTAAAATAGAAATGCAGTAGTAAATAAGAGAGCTTCATTTTTAATAGGTTCCCCTTTCTTTAGGAAAATGGTAGAAATTTCACCATGTGTATTTCATTTTTCTAATAATTTCAAAAAGGCAAATTTTGCTGGGACCATGAAATAATTTTGGATTTATCCAGACTATGTAGAAACCACCATCACATCTGACTAAAAAGCAAAACCTTGGTTAAATTGACTTGGCCTGGTTCCCAGGTTTCCCAGGCATTAAGCAATATCTGAAAGTTAAGTCTGTCACCTTCAGAAGCTGCAATAACTCTTTCATTCACTATAGTCCCACTTAGCACATTGTTCTGTAATAATATATATGTGCCTACTATGAGAAAGTTGATATTTATTCAAAGGCAGCACATTCATAACTTAGGATACGACATCTCTGGGATGTTGTCAATTTTAAAGTCTCCCCTTCCAAGTTGGTTGGTTATATAACCATGGGGTACTCCTCTTTATCATTTAAAAAATTCTTTCAGGTGTCATTACTGTTGTGTACAGATATGGTCACTTGTTTAGATACCTTAACACTGAGGATTGGATGATAACATTTTTAAGGAACTATTTTCTCCTAAGGTAAGCAGAGAATATTTTATAAGGACCACCACTCACACTACCTTAACCATAGCCATCTATACTCCAGAGCAATGTTGCTGTTGAATGCCTACCATATGGAGGCAGTGTCAGCATGCAGGGGCAGTGTAGGGGTAAAGAGATTACACCCATCCACACTTAGAGTAACAGCACTTTGGAATCATAGAATTCTACCAAAAACAACCTCTTATGATAGAAGGTATCTGACAATGTCATCTCATCTAAATCTATCATGTAATGTTACAGATAGGAAAGAGAGATGATGGGAGGTAAGATTTCTTAACGTCATATGCTTTAGGTGATTGTAAATTCCAGACTTTTCTGACTCCTGGACCAATGTTCTCATAATACCTCATGATTTATGTATAGAACCTATGGAGAATGAAGCTACCTAAAAGTGCCCTTTGTTCACGGTCTCTTATAAAAGATTTCTGTTATTATTTGCCTAAACTGCTTCTAACACCCGAAATTACTTTCAAAAAACCCATGAAAAATCAAAGTTAAAAGTAGTAGACCATTAATGCTATGAAACAGCAACTTTCCTAGTTTTCTTCTTACTAATCAAAGTCCTGATTGGTGTTTGTTGTGTCAGCTAGAGATTAAAATAATTATTTAACTATTTTGGTAATATTGAAACTTACTTGAAATATCCCAATTTTGTACTTAAAATCAATGCTTATAATGTGATGTATTTTATGTTATTAACGACAATTTGTTGAATAGTTATCAAGTTAGTGTTTGGCTTCTCCTATTCTTTTAAAACAAGTCTATTGTAGCTCTCTCAAATCTCATAACAGCTGGCTCCTATTCAATGTCAAAAATACAAATTTTAATAACTATTTCTAATGCCATAGTAACTTTAGAGAGCGGAGGCATCCCTTTTTAACTACTAAAAAAGGGCTTATTTTGGTGCCAAACTACAGAAGATGCAGTTTTGAGGACAGATTAAATTGAATACACCAAAGTAGCTGCTTGGGAAAAAGAACAGCATATAATCTAGTATCTTTAATTTTATGTACATGAATATAATGTATGTCAACTTTGTACATGAGATACATACAGTATTTAAACATTTTACTCAACAAATAAGAATTTACAATAGCAATATAACTGACTAGAGGGCTGTCCACTTAATAATACTTAGATTAGATCTGTACTTTAACAGGAAAAGAACTTAATAGTTTACAATCATAGAAACACTGACATTTAAAACAAGAATTTATAAAATAATTTATATATATATATATATCCTAGCATCTATAGAGAGGAATGATTTGCATTTGTGGGTGTGTGCAATGAATGGTATATTTTAAATTTTTAGGTAATAAAATAATTTAGAAGCAGTTCATGCAGGGGTCAAAGCAAGGAATAGCAAGTTCCTTCAAGAAGTCCTCTATCTTTGACACCAACCGGCATCAGACACACACTAGGTACCACGGGGCACTCTAGAACAAGTCTCCTTCAAGAGTTACTTATTAAACATCAATAAACACATGTTGATATCCTTCCTTCCATAGTACAAGTACAGGTCACAACTTCTCTCAGCTGTGGGAGTAGTCAGTTTATACTTAAAGTGATTTAATGTCCCTCCTGAAGTTCTACGTAATATATCTCTATCATAAGGTAACTAACAGAACTTCCTAGTTTTCACAACCTTACTCTGATACTTTACAGAGTGCCCCCCATGTCCTATGACATAAACATCCAGCAGGTAAGATTTGCCAGGCTGAAGACCTTTAATTGTTTCTGTGGTCACTGCTTTCTGCAGGTTTTGACTGTGGAAATATTTACAGAGGACCTTTTCTGACTTCTTCCTTATATCTGGTCCTAGGCATTGGTTTTGCTCTCTTTTCTTCTGGTCTTCATTGTAGTTATCATCCACTTCTTTTTTGTAGATGCAAAACTTGTTCCTTTCCTGAGTGCCTAGCCAAGCCACGGTGGCCGAGGAACAGGTACGGAGCTTGTCAAAAGCTTTGATTCTTGTGTCTTCAGGAAGAGAGGGAAATGACTGCTTAGTAGGCCTTGTGGTAGCTAGTATTTTCAACATAGATGCTCCCTTCTTGTTTCCTTTCAGCCGAATGAGGTATTTCGCTTTAGGTTTTCCTCTAAGCTGAAACTGCCGAATGCCTTCCACATTCTGAGACAGAAGAAGTTTCCCATCTCTTCTCACTTGGATTTGGACAGCATCCAGACAAGAGTGAATAAAGAAGGTGACTTTCTGGTGAGAAGAGACTGGAGCAAACCGTAGAATCTTTGCTCCCTTCCTTTTAACAAATACATCTGTAACCTTCCCGTCTTTTAGCTCGACTGTCTTCTGTTTGGCTTCTTCCTTGGTCCTGGCAAAGGTGCCTACATAAGCGGTGCTCATGTTGCTGTTGATGTTGACTACAAATACATCAAAGTAGTACTGCGTGTCAGGTTTCAGATCAGAGACAGTAAAGATGTTCTTGTTTCCTATGCAGATTTTTTGAATGTCAACCTTGGGCCTGGAGTAGACATGACGCCCCAGTTTTGGAGAAGGCTTTGCTTGGAAGCCGCGTTCTTTACCTGAATTATCTGAAGGAAATCCAAAATGGGCAAAGTCAAAGGGACTGAAGTCTAGACCAGGTTTCGGTGCCATCATAAAAGCATCATCTGCACTCAGTTTTGCTTCCACTGCACAGAGACTTTTGAAATTGTGCTCTTTGTTGATGACCACACAGTACTGAATGGGTTGTTTCAGCAAAGAGGCAGTGGGGCTCGGTTTCCAGGCCAAAGTGACTGTGGTGCGCCCCAGGGAGGTCACATCTACTCTTGGGTCATAGGATAACTCAGGGTATGGCTGATCAGATTCTGGAGTTGTTGTGGCATATATTTTGAAATGTGTGTCTTTCTCTGTTGAAAGAAGATCCAACTGATATAAACCAGATGGGGAACTAGAAGATATAAAATACTCAACATCATTGCCTTTGTAGGAGAATAACTCAGTGCCTTCCTCATTAATGATCTGCTGCTTCTGCTGCTCAAGAGGTTCCAGATCACCTAGAAGATACACAAGAAGAACAGGCTACTGTCAGGGCATACACTGTGGCTTGCTAACCTTAACTTATGCTTTTATCTCATTTTTTCTCATGAAAATAATATATGTTCATAAGTAAAAGTATTCATAAATGTATTAGAAGTAATATTTATTTTGACCATTATACATAATGCTTTCATATATGTGTAAGGCATTTCTGAATTTAAATTATTTCTTCAGAACAGAAGGCAATAAGTAAAAATTTTAGGTCAGAGGCTGTAAGCTTTTGAGAAATTATTAATCCTATCAATCTGCTTATGAAAAGAATTTTATCAGTTTGCATTTGGATGGCTAGCCATTTTGCTAATTTCACTATTGTTAGAAGGACTAGACATTCTGATTAAAATACAAATATAGAACCATCCCAGCAACCCAATCACAGCTGGTCTTCCCTGGACGCCATGAACCACACTGTCCAAACCTTCTTCACTCCTGCCAACACCAACTGTCCCACCGTCCCTCCAACTATGAGATGCTGAAGGGTGAGCATGAGGCGGATGTGCTGGGGGTGCCCCGTAACACTGCTCCCCCAACATCCACTGTGATCCACATCTATACCGAGATTTCCATGCCCGACCATGTTGTCTGGTCCCCTTTCAACATCCTTTTCATGAACTCCTGCTGCCTGGGCTTCATAGCGTTCCCCTACTCCTTGAAGTCTAGGGACAGGAAGATGGTTGGCGACCTGACCGGGGCCCAGGCCTATGCCGCTACCGCCAAGTGCCTGAACATCTGGGCCCTGATTTGGGCATCATCATGACCATTCTGCTGATCATCATCCCAGTATTGATCTTGCAAGTCTATCAATAGATCAAGAGGAATCATCCGGGCCAGGGGCTCTGCCCGTGACTGGTTTCCCATGAACTCCACCTTCCATTCCTCGCCCTGCCCCGAGCTGAATCCTGTATCAGCCCTTTATCTTCACACACTTTTCTATAATGGCATTCAATAAAGTGCACGTGTTCCTGGTAAATAAACAAATAATACGAAATAAAATACAGAATATAAAGTACCAGTAAGACTGTCTGGCCAGGTGTCATGGCTTATGCCTGTTATCCCAGCACTTTGGGATGCTGCAGCTAGAAGATCACTTGAAGCCAAGCCTGGACAACAAAGAGGGACCCTGTCTCTACAAAAAATAAAGATTAAAAAAATTAGCTGAACACAGTGGCAAGTGCCTATAGTTCCAGCTACTTGGGAGGCTGAGGCAGGAGGATTGGTTAAGCCCAGGAATTCAAGGCTGCAGTGAGCTATGATTGCACCACTATGCTCCAGCCTGGGCAACAGAGCAAGACCCTGTCTCAATAAATAAATAAATAAAGGATCGTTTAAGGTGCATTGTATAGAACATGCATGCAGGAATAACACGGGAATAGTATTATAGCTAAACCATTTTTTTCCATCGTTTGTTACTATAAGCATCAGATATCACACAGATATCAGTGTATAGATAAGTTTCCACGGCTTGGTGAATGATTGGATAGCTACAGTAAGAAGAAACCTTTTCCAGCTTATCACTGCAGGTTGAAAGTGAGCTACACAGAATTTCATATTCCTAAACCATGGGATAAACACAATCATCAAACAGGTATATTAGCATCAAGATTTGGCCAGGTGCGGTGGCTCACGCCAGTAATCCCAGCAGTTTGGGAGGCAGAAGTGGGCAAATTGCTTGAGCTCAGGCATTCGAGACCAGCCTAGGCAGCATAGTAAAACCCCGTCTCTACAAAAATACAAAAAGTTAGCTGGGTCTAGTGGCATACACCTGTGATCCCAGCTACTTTGGAGGCTGAGGCAGGGGAACTGCTTGAGCCTGGAAGGTGGAGGTTGTAGTGAGCCAAGATTACACCATTGCACTCCAGCCTAGGTGACAGAGCAAAAGCCCATCAAGATTCATTTTCTGTATCTTGGTCTACTCCCCATACATACTTCCATAATTTTCCTAATTGCTTTCCAATTTTCCTAATTGTTCCTCTTTGTAACTACTATGGCTCCCTGTTAGCCTCTTTTGTAGGGCCTTCATCTTTAACCTATGATGCCCTTAAAGAGCCTTACTCCAGGGCTCCACACAGACTCTTCTCGTTTCCCTTTTATCTTATTATTTGCTCCCCATCATCTGTGTCTTCTTTAAATCTTAGCCCACTCATCCTACTAACTTTGTTTTCATCTTGGCCTTTAACTGCTGCTAAATGCCTCTCTGTTTCCACCTCTTATTCCCTGGAGATCAGAGGTTCTTAACCTTGGCTGTAATCAGAATTACCTGGAGGGTGCGGGCTAAAAATCCCAATGTTCAGACCTCACCCCATGGCAATTAAATCAGACCTTTGCAAGATCTAGGCATCAGCGGTTTTTAAAGCCTTACATGAGATTAGGGTGCTTAGGCAAGATTGCAAACCACAGCCGAAGAGGTTAGTCCAAACCTCTCCCCTTCTCCTCAATCTGTCAGTCCCCCTACCTGTCTCTCCTAGCCTTTGATTTTACCAGGGTCAATGTCATCTGATGCCACCCTCCCACTTTCCTTGTCTCCATCTCATACCTCCAGCTTCACCTGTGCATGCTACTTTTTCTTACTAACACACAGAAGGTTGTATGTTTCACAAGCCTTAAAACCAACCACTCAAAGGTCCAGGGTCAGACCTATCCTGCTGCTTACCTGACCCTTCCCCACTCGTGTCCTCTGGCAGCTCCTGGAGGCTCAGCTTCCACTCCAGAGGTGCATCACAGGGTGTCACTGTGACTGATAATGGAGTATTGTCTTCTTCAACCACAAAGAAATACCTGTGGGAAAGTGGGCCAGGTTAAACTGTGGTAATTTTTTCTAACATACACAATCAAAACTTACTGGAGAAATCATTTGTGGTTTTTTCATTGTATAAATTTTATAAAATTTTCATCAAATGTCACTGTATTTTCACTTAACAGAGAATAAAATTGGCTATTTGACACAAAAGATGATACAGCATTGACTGTGGAAGTCCAACAGCCCCAAGAATCTGCAACCAGATTTATCATCAGATACAGTGTGAAATAAAAGACATTGAACCCAAAGTGTTTTGAGTTAAAAATCAACACTTACCTGTTGTCTGTTTTTATTTAACACGGGCCCTGCCATTGCAAAATAAATCACAACCAAGAAAATTTCCAGGTTTGTAGCCTGTTAGGTGGTATGCCTTCCATACGTTTGGTGACAAATTTGTACATTACCTTGTGGGCACTCTGACATAATTGCAACTATTTCAATAGACCATTTTCACAGCATCCTAGTTCTAAAGTGTTTGTCTCTGGCAAAAAAAAAAGAAAACATGCTGTATTCACATTTTTATATTGGTGACTTTTATTCACAGCTTTACTATTTCTTATCTTTTTGTTTGTTTGTTTTGAGACAGTCTTGCACTGTCTCCCAGGCTGGAGTGCAGCGGCGTGATCATAGCTCCCTGCAGCCTCAAACTCCTGGGCTCAAACGATCCTCCCAACTCAGCTTCCTGAGTAGCTGGGACTACAGGTGTACACCACCATATCTGGCTAATCTTTAAATTTTTTGGTACAGATGGGGGTCTCTGGTGCCCTGACTGGTCTCAAACTCTTGGCCTCCAGTGATCCTCCTGCCTCAGCCTCCCAAAGCACTGGGATTACATGTGTGAGCCACCATGGTGGCCCATTTCATGTCTTTTTGAATGGTGTTATCTAATCACGAGATTGTGAAATATTTTTAAAAACTAAAGATCACTGAGTTCTCGATCACAAGATTTTCTGTTGAATTAAATAAGTTAATGATTTTAAAACAAAAATTTAAAAATCAAATGTTCTACTCTACGCCTTCACCTGAGCCTTTATTGTAATGCTTTAAAAAGAATAAAAATATTGCTTAACTATAGAAATACCATACATTGTTACTCCAAATGACTTACACAGTTTCACTTACTTATCTTTCAAAACCTATAATCTTGCCAATCAGGAGACCATGGTTTCAGTTCTAGCAAGCCCAGAGTTGCTCATTGATTCCATGCAGGGAAAAGCAGGCCTTGCCTCCTGTGGATTGAACCTCCTGGGTATCTCTCGTCTTCCTATTCTCTCCATAACCATGACCAACACTGACCACCAGAGTCTCCAACCCCAGAGGTCTCTACTGGTTCCTTCTCACCTCCCCAAACTCTAATGTCAGGAGTGAACCACAAGACTATGCTTGGACGTCTCTTTTCCACCTATGCTCACTCCCTGTGTGACCTCAACCAGGCTCATACAATTAAGGAATTGTTTCCCACAGCTAAAATCTAAAGCTCTTATAGGACTCTGAGCTGGAAGACACATAGTATATTTGCTTTTTTAGGAGATTCCTCTTGCTGCAGTTTTAAGGAATGATTTGGAGGTAGTGAAAGTGAATATATAGGAAACTACTCATTAGTTCATCCAACAAACATTCCTTGAGATTTATTTTAGTCTTTGAAACTAAAGGAAATTCATCCTTGAAGAAGTGACTTTCAATGTGAGTAGGGACAAAGGAGTTCATTTCAGGCAGAGAAAACCACATCCCATAAATGATAGGGTAGGTAGAGTTTGGGAACTAAGGATGCCCTTTGGGGTTTGAGCACAGAGACTTAAATGGGTAGTCACAGGACAAAAGACAGGTGAGGTGGGCTGAGGCCCTGTCACTGCAGAGGTTTCTGACACAGACCCACATTTAAAGTCAGTTCTTCAGGGGTGCATTTTCCACCTCACTCTGGATCAGATCCTCTTATGTATTCTCAGAATGTCCTATACTTTTTACTTTTGGGCACGTATTATCATTTGTGACTATATAATTGTATTATTATTTGATTATTATCATTTTCCTCAAAAAGGCCTTGTTAGGGTTCATTTATCACCTTTGTATTCCTATCACTTAGCACCGATTTCTGCATGTAGGTGCTTGATCAACATTTTAAAATCATTGAATTACTAAATGAGTAAATAAAACCTAAGAATCCTAACGCCAAACTTCTTGCTCTAGCCTGGTTCATATACCTAGAATCTGCTTCTATCTGAAGATACAGAATCTGAATGGAAATATAAGTACCTCCCCCCAGCCGCCGCCATTCAAAGATGCATTTGGAGATGGAGAATGTGAAGGGGGCAGTGGGTGGACAAATAAAGCGAAGACCCTATAAATGCAAAAGCAACTTATTTATAAATAGTAAAGTTAAACAATCATCTAGACGGAATAGGTGATTGAATTGTTTACTGTATGGAAAGTTTAATGTACCATGAGCATTCCTGAAGAGAGTGTCGGAAGGCTTAATTTTCATTGCAGTCTACTTTTTGTGAGTAGAATTTTGTCCCTTTGGCCAGGTTGCATGGGAGTTATTAACCATATAAACACAACTGAGCCTATCTATATTACAAAGACATAGGTACAACAATGTAACTAGTTTGGCATCATGAAAGTAAAAGAGTTTTGAAAACCTCTTGTTTGATGTTGAGTTTTATCTCAACAGCAGAGGTAACCAATGCCACAGAAGGAAACAATGTCCAAGTTGGTCTATTATCTTCTGTTCTCATTTCATACAAGGAAGTAGTTTATTTCCCAAACTGTGTCTCAGTAACTTAAATATCGGTCATAGGTGACCAATTACAAATAAAACAATACTTGCATTCCACAAGGTAACCATTATGCATATAAAGCAGCAGGGAGTCCCTCTAAGTCAACATTTTCATATGGAAGCACTTACGATTAGGGATACATGATAGTTTGAATATATTTAACAATTTGACAGACATTTATTGTCTACCATCCACAAAGCAGCTGTAGAAGAGAGTGACAATCAGAGATAACAGGACATAATCTACGTATTCAAGAGATTTACTGGCTAGTGAGGGATACAGAAACGTAATTAATAACTAAGGAAACATGGCACAGAATTATAGTGCCAAAGCTGAGGGATAAACACACCATGAGTCATTTAGCCTTTGGAATTTATGTATAAACAGAAGAATAATTAATGTGTTTGTTGTCTTTTTAAATTTACTGCTATGCAACTTTATCTGGAATTTCTTTTTTTAGTTGGAATATCAACAACATCTATGTGTGTTTATCACTGCATATTTCACCCCTAGAAATGAAGTTTCTACTTGTGGCTATAATTCATTAGTAGTGTAAGTCTGCTTTTACTAGTTCATGTTAACATTTTTTCCAGTTGTGGCTACCAAGGGCCTCAATAATTATTGCTGGAAAAAAGATAAAAATAAAGAATGAATAAATGAAAGAAATAAAAATGAGAAAATGCTGTTTTATAATGTCTCATAATAAAAACATGGAATTTTTCTTAAAAAGTGTAATTTCTAAAACAACTCTTAGAGGCGAAACTTATTTAAGTTTTAAGAAACTGGAAGACTAAAGAAGATAAATTATTTGCTTAAGTGATGATTATATAATGAGGAATGCTGTGTTTAAACTATGCTGCAAAAAAGGCAGTGCACAAGTGCATTTGGGAAATGAAGGTAATTTCTACAGAAAAATTTTGATTTGATTTCACTCACACGTAAATTTCAAAGGGCAAAATAATATGAAAAGCCAAATGTGTTCACCAAGAGCTCAGTTAACATTTAAGATTAAGGTAAAGTAGTACGACTGTTTTATATGCCTTTTACTATTTTTACAGACTCAATTTTAGTCAGGACCAAGACAGCAAGCAAGTTCCTTCAATGTAATCATCCTTTCCTCTTCTGCCTTTACTCTCAGGAATGTCATTTAAAGATTCATAATTATTTTATATGTTACTGACAAGTCAGTTACTAGTCTAGTGTGTTCATGCAAACAAATAATTTCACTCAAGCAGTGCTGAAATAATATCCAAACCATAGTTCACTCCAGTCAATGTAGGAAAACTGATCACCTGCCATCATTTTGACTAAGCAGATGGAGATGCAACTGGGCCATTAAGTGGAAGGGGTTCAGATCACCAACTTTCATGATTACTGTTAATCAGAACTGAAAAGATGACTAAGTACCTGATACACCTCAATCTCTAGAAAATGAATTACTGATGTTCTCAGACAGTTTAATCCTTTGGAATGTCAATGTATCCCAGGTTAGAAGGAGCAACTGGTTTTGAAATGTAATTATCCAAAGATTAACTGTGTGTTCTAAACTTGTAAAGGGAGAAAAGAGTTTGATCACTACAAAGTAGATAAGTTTAAATACAAGTAATTTATAACATATTATATATATATATATATATATATATATATATATATATATAAATTTTAAAGGTCAAAATATTTAGAAACTTTATGTGAGCCCAATTTGTTGAAGTTGGAGTAAAGGTAAATAAACAATGTCAGTTGCTATGACTTTTTAGTTTGATTCTCTTAGTATCTGATGATATTTGGTAAAGAAATATTATACTCCTAAAACAATGTGTTGAGTGTGGTGTCTCACACCTGTAATTCCAACACTTTGGGATGCTGAGGCAGGAGGAGCACTTGAGCAAAGGAGTTAGAGATCAGCCTGGGCAACATAGTGAAACCCCCATATCTACTAAAAATTTTAAAAATTTGCTGGGCAAGGTGGCACACCAGACCTGTAGTACCAGCTACTTGTGAGGCTGAGGTGGGAGGATTGTGTCCTCCTGGGATGTTGAGGCTACAGTTAGCCATGACTGTGCTACTGTACTCCAACCTGGGCTACAGAGTGAGATCTTGTCTCAAAAACAAAAATGAAGCTTAATGCAAACTCTTGAAGAATCATACATATTCATGAAAATTGATTTCATTTTAATCCTACGGAATCCTTCTTAGTTCTACTGTAATGAAAATAAGAAAATAATCATTCTAAAGTTTAAGAAATGTAAGCATTGCCTCCTCTACCCAAAAGGAGATGACAATCAGCAGGCATCAAACAGTCTCTATGTCATAATTAGAAGTTGCATGTCCTTCTTCACCCAGAAAATCAGTAATACCATTCATAGGTTGATTTGTAAATTATCTAAACTAAGTCTAAAAGATTATTTTCTTTTTTGGAGGCATCATTTGTGAGCATTTTAATAAAGAAAATACTGCAGGGAGAATACCTTTTAGGTGTATCTCTAAAGAGATAACTGCTGATTTCAGCTCCATCTGGAATTACTGATGAATCATGAAAAAATGCCTTGTCCCGGATCTGCATCTGAAATAGTTCCTCATCCCGGGTGGGTAACTTCTGGGTCCTTGAGCTGAGTGGAAACAGGAGCCACAGCAGACACCAGTGGAGCAGCACCATCCTGAGGCAACAGAAATGACTGCTTGTATTAGTTCTGCAGGCAGACACTCAGGCAAGTCACAGACTTTCTAAAGGGTCAACACTATTTTAGTTTTGATGGAAACTTAGGGAGGCATCACATATTTTGGATACATGCACATGATCTTGAAGGGAACTTTCCTACATTTTTTCTTCAAATGACTTCATGATGTTGAGAATAAATTCACTAGAATTTCAGACATTAAAAAGATTTTGAAATGAAAAGACTCTTGTTGCATTAACTTCCCTAAGGGTATTCAGAGAGAAAATCCTCACTTCATTACAGCAGAAGCCTATATGAACATTGTAGATAACACTGTATCAATGTCTCAAAGCTTATACAAAAATAATCTCTTATGGTCAGTTCTTTGAACTATTCTAAAGCTTAAACCAATGGTTGGTTGGTATCATTGCTCAGCAGTGAAGTTGCTAATTGATGGTGTGGTTGAACCAGAAAATCATCACTGCTCAGTTGTTTTTATTCTTCCCTAAAATCTGACTACAGACTAAACATGTATAACTCTGTCTATATAGTATTATGCTTTTTCCAAGATCAAACTTTCATAAGTCAGGGATTCTTAGAAATCATAAAGTTCATCTTCCTCGCAGATTAAGCAATTTGTTCAAAATTACAAGATGAGTTAGTTGTTGATGTCTAGTTATCGGGTACGAGAGTCTTCAACACAGCGTTGACATATATATCCCATCATTTTAGGAAGTGGGCTTGAACCCCCACTCACATATCAAGTTAGAAAGATGTATATTTAAAACATTTATTTTAACCTACAGCAGAGTTACATTTTGGCATGTGTCACTGACTTTCATCAAAGATTCTCTAAATAAAGATGAGTCATTCTCTACTGTACATTGCTGTAGGGGTGTTGTCACAGACACTGTGTTCCACATGTCTTGGTGTTCCCAACAGGAAGCTCCAGGTAGGCAAATTCCTTGACATGACAGGTGCGCTTGAAAAATTTTGCTTCCTCTGACCATTTGGTCAATTTTTTTCTCACAGAAAGAAATATGTAAAGAATTGTTTTCCTTTACTTCTTTGACTTAATATACATCAGGGAATTATCTTTCTCATCAGAGAAATATGTTTTTACATTGAGGTACTTTAGCAAATATTTGTGATAACTTAAGATGAGGTGAATGCCAGTTTTATTTTTAAATGGACATTACTGTAATCAACCTCTACTTAAAACATCATTTGATTTTAATTTTATCTTTTTTTGAATGCTATCAAAAACAGATTCAGATAGCAAAAAAATGTATATTTTAAAGGAAATAAACATTCTCTTTTTTACAATGTGGACATGAGAGTTGGTTTTTTCACAGTGAGCTTGTGCAAAAAGCATTTTACTTCTTTTTTCCAAATATTCTTTTCTGCTCTGTGTTGTGCAGTTTTCATACAAAATATCTGAAGTGATTTAGAGCTACTATGTGCAAAGCACTGTGCTAAGTTCATATGTTGCACCACTACATTTAGTCCTCACAATCAGCCTGTGAAGTCGCTGCTATCCTATGCAAAAATAAACCTCCATTATGTAAGTAGAGAAAGGATACAAATACAGGGGGTTCTGACTGCAGGGCCCGGTGTTCATCCTCTGTAATATCTCTCCAGAAAGCCATAATAACTTATTACGAGGCTTTTATTTCCTACTCTTATTTCTTAATTGTATTGAAAATGTAAGAAAATTCAACTGAGAACTAAGAAACTTGATGTTTAGTTTCAGTTCCTAACTAGATGTGTGATCTTAGGCAATTCACATAGCCACTCCGGACCTCGGTTTTCCAAAGAGTTTGAATGGGTGATCTCTGATGAGCAATGCTTCTGTGACTGAACTAAAACCTCTTCTTCCTAACAAGCTGGCAGTTTAAGAATGAGACCAGGCCTCCTTAAGTAGCATGAAATAATCTCTCCCTCAGGTATCCAGATGATTGTCAAGGAGAAATCTGAAAGAAGTTGGGGATGCCAGTGGGAGCTCATGAGAGTTACTAACAGTACACAAGGGTTATGTCTGCAAAAGACGGCTGGATGGGTCAAAATCAAGACTAGGTTGATCTAGTCTAACCAAGCAAGGACATGGTGGACTGACCTGAATGGGACCTCCCTCACCGCTCTCTGTCCCTTCCCTTTGCTCCTCTTTTGTTTGGAGTTAACAAAAATGGAAAATCCAAATGGCATTTGCTATGCTACCTCTGTTTAGAAATACCATAGAAATGCCACATACAACTCTACCAGTTCATCTCTCTTTGTAGTACCATCCCCAAAACTTGCCTTGTAAGGACAGAAGAGGCCAATTAAAGAAGAAAATCTCTTTAGAAATAGCTAGAATTTGGCTCTCCATACTTGTTAGGAACTTATAGCAAACATACTACGAGAGAACTTGAAAGTGAGATACACAGGCATGTTTGCCTCAGAGCCACTCAAGGCTTACCTCCTCAGGCCCCATGTTTGCCCACAAAGCTACCAATGGCAGTGCCACAGTATGACTTAGCAGGACAAGCTGCCCAACGACCCAGGATATCTGGGATATTTAGGTCAGCCCCTGAGTTGGAAAAATAGTCACGATGGTTAGGAACTTTCTCTGCATCCTAAACTGCTCTAGGAAAGAACTCTTTCTATATTAAATTGACTAACTAAAATAATGAGAAAAAAGAATAGTGCCTACTTCATAATGTTGTTGCTAGCATTAGATGAAATAATATATTTAAATAACTTAGAAGAATGCCTGGTGTGTGGCATGTTTACATGGTGGCTCACGCCTATAATCCCCTCACTTCGGGAAACCAAGGCAGGAGATCACCTGAGGTCAGGTCAGGAGTTCAAGACCAGCCTGGCCAACATGGTGAAACCCTCTCTCTACTAAAAATACAAAAATTAGCTGGGTGTGGTGGTGGGTGCCTGTAATCCCAGCTACTCGGGAGACTGAGGCAGGAGAATCTCTTGAACCCTGCACTGCCCAGGCTGTAGTGAGCGGAGGTCACACCATTCATTGCACTCCAGCCTGGTGACAGAGCAAGACTCCATCTCAAAAAAAAAGAAAAAAAAAAACAATTCTGAGATTTCTGAAATAAAAACAATATTAATAAATTTTGTTGTATACATGCCGCATACCAGGCATTCTTCTAAGTTCTTTAAATATATTATTTCATCTAATGCTAGCAACAACATTATGAAGTAGGCACTATTCTTTTTTCTCTTTTTAAAAATGATCAAATTGAGACTTAGCTAAGTAAGGTTACATGGTAAATACTATCTGATGTAAAAAATATGAACTATTTATTTTAGGTGGCTTAAAATATGGTAAATCTGATTATTATATATTCTCCAAGTCAGCTACTTAGCAAATTAATATTAATAAACAATTTCAAGTTATAGAATTATGCAGAGTAAGTGTTGGGTGGCAATTCTCCATGGGTCTCTGTGTTTCTTTTTGCATATCTTGGGAGCAGAAGTACTGATTGCTTTTGTTCCACATTACCTTTTCAATAATATTTGTATAGTGAGCGACCTTGGAAGATAAAGCCTCTGGAACAAAGAGCAGGCATGACTACCACCCATTATAAAAGATTTTAGGTCCCTAAATTCAGGGATCCTCTCCTCTCCTGTAATAAAATCCAAAGCATGGGCTGGTGGTCTCTGGCCCTCTTTGCATTATCCTGTGGGAAATAGTGGTCAGGCAGCCAGTAGAAAAAATAATGATACTATGCCTACTGCATTGTTCTGAGTAATAAAGTCCTTTATCTGATCCAGGAGTACCATGCCTTCTTCTAGCATCCATGAAACCATGACAGACTAATTTATTAGATTTCAAGTGCACTAAAATCTCAACTCTTCCAACAGTTTTTGACATTAAGCTTCAATTTATAAACTATTTTACTGGTTTACCTACTTTATTGGCTCAGGTAGATACTATTTAGACTATCACCAATAGGTAATAGACTCAACTTTATCTTTTGCTTTATCAAAAACATCATACTTCCCAAACTAAAATTCCATCAGCTCATATTTTTTTTGTTTCTGAAATCGTTTTAACCATTTAATTGCTATACCAATTATGGGCAAAACACGCTTTTCAAAAAAGTTTTAAAAATTAGTATGGCCCCCAAACACAGGAATTTATACTCTGTCGGATTCTGATTCTCAAAATATTATTCTAGTAACATGCAACTATTATTGGGAGAAAACTTAAATATTAGGGAACATTGTTGGCTTGTTCAATATGATCAGGTTACAAGAAGAAGTTAAAATGTATTTAAAAGAAGCACTGAATATAGCTAATAAAAAAATGACAGAGCAGATACATTGTGTATGTTTTTACAACTTACATTTACTGACCAAAAATTGAAGGTTTACATAGATATTATTTAAATGGTGGTTTTTTAAGATTTTGTATGTTTTCCCCACCCATAAAATGTTCTCTCTCAGGTATACAGTTTAAGAATTACTCACTTAAAATAAACAAATGAATATTCATTCTTCTTAAGCATAAGCCTTAAATTAATTTATAAGAACAGACTTTTTTTCTAAGATTACAAAGTGCCTTCTAATGGCATAACTTCTCCTCTCATTTCTTTTTTGTTACTTCTAGGTATCCAGAGCTTATCTAGATTTAAACTTTATATTAAATAACACTAATCAGAGTTTCACTTTAGGCACTCTTTCTTTTCTCATGGCCATCTGGTGGATGATGTAGGAAATGTGTTTGCACAGCAACAAATCTTGCTATCTTTCTACAATTGAGGCTTTAGTTCAAACATAAGTTGAAAGTTGCTAGGATAATTCCAAATATTTTTGTTTTGCTAGGCAGATCAACTTGGTTGCAGTTATTCACAACCCAGAAGAACTTGGTGGTGTTACTCTATTACTGAGAAAATTGACTTTGTTTCAACTGAAAATTTGTAATGAATGAAAGATAGATGCTAATCCATAATTCTGCTATTTTTATGTTGTCAAAGGCCTTCTTCATATTTGGC